GCAAGTGACTGCAATTTCCTAAAGATTGAGTTATTTCCCCAGAAAAGCTGTTGTTTTGCAAATCAGTTGTTTCAATGAAAGACAAGGAACCAAATGAGCTTGGAATTATTCCAAAGAAATGATTGTTAGCCAAATTCAAAATAGTTAGATTTGGCCAACGCGTCAAACAATCGGAAAGCTCTCCAGATAGCTGATTGTAGGAAAGATCAAGAAAGGTAAGCCTGATACCACTAGTTGTGGTACAAAAAGAAGAAATTAACCCAGAAAACCTATTTTTTGAGATGTTTATGGATGTGGTATTAGCAGGAGATGGTGGTAATGGACCCTCCAAATTATTGCAATTCAAGCATATTCCAAGAAAACCAGAATACCTCATTCAAAAATCAGGCAGAAATCCATTAATCTGATTGAAAGAAAGATCTATAACAGCATAATTAGAAGTAGTTATGTTCCAAAACCAGATGGGGATGCTACCCGAAATTCCACTTGTAGAGATATTAAGAAACCGATAGTTTCTTTGGGCCCGTAACAAACTTGGAAAATCAGGGCCCAACTTGCATAGCCCAAGATTTATGTAACCCAACTGGAATGGACGAATCCAGTTATGACTAAAGTTGATGGTCAAGAAGGGATTAGAAGTCAGGTCCAAAGGCCCTTACTCAAATTGTGTTGAGAAGTGTTCTGCAGTGATTACCCATCAAAAGAATTGAAAGAAAGTTCAAACACAAGATTTGAAAGGAGTCTGATATTTTTGGTCACAGCGCCACTTACATTATGACTTCCAAGGGACAACTCTCTCAACAATGAGAAGTTTGTTATCCGATCAGATAGGACTCCCCCAATTCCACCATTATCGAAAGCCAAATCTTCTAAAGACAGCTGCAGACATCCAGAGAAGTTTCCTATGAGTTCATGAAGCATTTCTCCCAGTCCCAGATGGTCACCAGACAAGTGTAAAAGCCTTAATTTGCACATGTTTCCAAAGGATTTTGGAAGCCCTCCTTCAAATTGATTTTCCTTGAGTTATAGGTATTCCAAAGAAGTCATGTGACCGAAAGTTTCTGAAATCGGACCTTGAAACACATTTCTACCTAACATGAGTAGGACTAAGCTATGGCTAAAGTTGAAATTGAACAGCCACCGGAATGGGAACGCAATCAAAATTATTACTGCTTAGGTCTAGGACAGCAGGGGATGTCAAACTTTTAACCCTGGCGAAGGACTGGGGGAACAACATCTAAAAGATTACAGAGATCTAGCTGCAGGTTGGTTAGATGAGGGAGCTTCTTAACCACCTGCAGCCAGTTATTAACCTTACTAAGGTCGATTGTGCTCATATCAAGGTATTTCAAAGAAGAAAGATGGGAAAGCCACTCAAGATTTTTGATACTGTCGAAGTAATTATGTCTAAGATCAACAAGTTGCAGACTTGTGAGGTTCCCTAACTGACTGAGAAGATGGCCACCTAAACCAGAACCACAAGAAGAGGGATCAAGATATTTTTTAGTTGGGTAGAGTGAATTGATAAGAGAATATAATCTAAAGCCTATTCAACTAAGCCACAAATAAGTTAAAACTCTGCAACTCAAACAGGAAACGACATGACTTACCTTTTAAAGAGCAATCCTGAAGAATAAGCTCAATTACACGGCTAGTTGCTTTGCTACTCTGAACTCCTCTCCGTTTGCAAAAATCCCTTTTCTCTTCTTCACTTCCCCAGGAGGAAAGCACACCATAGTCATCAACCAAACCTTGATTAAATGCAAGAAATACTTGTCTTTTCCTCTCTATGCACCTAACTTCATGATCTCCAGCTGTTGAATTGAGTCCAACAGCCCTTCTAATCTGTAGTAAAATCACAATTAAAAAGACAAGCAGGGAGGTCCCTCTACCCAAAACCATCATTTTTTGAGTGAAAATAACAAAATCAAGATCAAGCAGAAAAAAAATGAAGACTGTCAAAGAAAAATTGTGGAAACTTAACCATTTGGTTCTGCTGTCTGAGTTTTGGAACCCTTTTACTTATATGAACAGCTACAATGGAACGCAATGAACAGATGTGAAAAGGGAACGTAAAAAATTCAAAGCGAACCATAAATTAGACCAGAACTGGTCATCAATTAGACCTTGTTCAAAGTTGAGGAGGGCTTTGTCTTTCACTCTCTATAACAGTCTTTTTCTACATAATTTTTCCATGTGCTAGCATCACTCTCATGTCATTTTGATCGTGTAGCAAGTGGAGCAGTGCAAGCATTGTAAGGAAAAGGAACGTTGAGGGAAGTGGAGAAATAAGAGAATACAATGTAAAGGCATGAACTAAGTGAGGGAATTCATATAAGTGTGCAGGGTTCATTTCAGCACAACTAGTTTACAATCAGTTTTTCCCTAAAGTATCCTGATTATCTAGGAAGAAAGAGTAGAGTTTAAATTTAAGGAGGTATTTTTAGCAATCTAAATGTTTGGTTCCAAATTCCATCAAAACATACATACAGTGAGACTAAACACGTTATGCAATTCTTAAGGATAAAAATCTCATCAAGAGGAAGTGAAATTGTTTGTGTAAGGAAATTTAATATATTGTAAAACAAAAAGGAGGAAACCTTTTAGTGTAGGGAGAAGATTAAAGAAAGATACCAGTTTGACGAATTTTAACAAAAAGTCAGGCTGGAGCAGCATAATTCAACACTGAGCCTGTGAAACACAATCAAGTTAAAGAGATGGAAGACCATTGACTGGTTGTCTTATTAACCAACTTTGGAAATCTTGTTTTCTGGAAGCATCCTATTAAAGTTATTGAGAATGCAACAAAGAAAAGAAGACTGACCTTTGATTGCAATTATAAGCAAGAGCTCCTTAAATCAAAAATAAAAAAAGAAAAAAGGAAAAAAGAAAAAATCATTAGCATGATTTCTATCTAATTTATCTCATTTTTATAATTTGATTAAAGTATACCATTCTATCAACTAAAACATGTCAATAAGAGTGAGGGCATCAAACTTGCAGAATTCAGATTTCAGTCTTATTTCTGTTGCTGCTAGCTTGTTCTTCATTCTTACAAACTAGATGGTGGAATAAAAACAAGCAAAACACAAAATGATACAATAAAACACACATAAAGCATAATTTAGCACACAAAAATGGAAAAAAAAAGGTGGTCTTGAGGACTATGGTAGCCAAGAAAGCCTGGAATTTTACTCTTTTTTCCTGAGATAACAAAACTTACCTTGGAATTTCACTTCACAAGAAAACATCAAGTCCTTGAATTCTGAAGAAGCACCTGAAAAACAAAGCGGGGGTGACTTGTCTGTTACTTTCAATGAAGTACGTAGTTCACCTCAACAAGATGACAAAATTATAAAAAAACTTAAAACATACCCTCTTCCTTGGGCTCCAGGGTAACAAGTTGAATGTTCTTGCAATCTGGGAGCAATAACTGTTACCACCAAACCAAGTACTGCCTTTAAGTTACTGAGGCAGATCTGCATGTAGTCAAAGTCAAACAAGAAGAAGCAAGCATGTTTACATGCATGGTCCAAGTTTAAAGCCGTAACTCCCAGAAAGCCAAAAGCCATCATTCCAGTTCCATACTGGGTTTAAATTCTTTCCAAAATTCATCTTCATTGTCTTGATTGTACTGGAACCACCATCTGTAGGTCTTTCATCACCGGAGCATGTTGGTGTTAGAGGAGGCCCACAGAGTGCAGAATTACCCAAAAGAAATAAACAAATAATAAATAAATAAATAAGCAGAAGCAGTAAAGCTCTCCAATTAGGTGCTTGATGGAATTTTCCCAAAAGAGTTATTATATGACAGCTCTAAGACACAGAGGAAATGTAGCTTGGACTTGGTTGAAGGAAGCCCATCTGAATAAAAGAGGCCACAAATCTGAGGTTGAATCTCTGAATCCTTCTCTATGGCCTTTTATGAAGAAACATCTAAATTGTTACAACTGCAACATACAACATTAGATTGTGAAAATTTTAGTTAAAATTATACAAATATTAAATTGTGAATTCATTTGAAAAAAGGAGAAATGACTGTTAAAATGAAAATTGAATTTAAGCCAATAGAATTCAGATGGAAATCCAATCTCAGTTTCATAGCAAGAAGCTGCAGTTAGCCCCTTACAATAGAAGATGCAAACCACACAGACAAACATACATTGGTTTATTACACACAGAAAGAAAGAAAGAGATAACCTTCTACTCGGGTTTGATTTGTTATTTATTATTACTGACACCAGCAAGACAAAATGGAGAAGTTGAGTCCTTGAAGTGTGAAGAAACATATTGAAACTGAAGTAATGCACTTGAACAAGAAGATAGCATAAACGAACATAACCATATCC